AAGCCTCTGGAAAACAGGGAACTCCATCTTTTTCCATCCTGAACTCTGTTCTTTTTAATCCTACTGCTACTCTGGACAAACTGCTTTTACGGCAGAAGAAGGCTAAGCAAGGTATATTACCACATAAATTAGCTTCCCAGTGCTTTTTGTAAGGTTATGGGTTTTACCTTTCCTTGGATCTTTTGACAGCCTGTGTTGCTCTAGCAAATAACACACCTTAAACAAACAAACAAACAAAAAAGCCATATTAATGGGAAATATTTCACAACAACTTTGTCACAACACTATTTATCAGTACCTTCATTTAGAGTTCCTCATCCCTTCAGCCTCTTAGAAGTAGTTAAAATTAAAAGGTAATACAACTACCATCAACAACCATCACTTTGCTACTGAGAACTTAAATGAAAACACCTAAAGCAGCGGCTCTGCTTTGCATCTCTCCTGCAACACCCGCAGCCTTTCAGTAACCTCAGGAAGAGAGAGTAAACCAGCCAATATTCCTGCTGACAAGAGAAGCGTATCCTGTGCAGTGTCTGGCTGTGCCTGCGCATGAAAGCAACGGGGTGCAGAGTAGATTCATGGAGCAACACAGCTGGAGCTGAGGACCCACCATCTGCACCACACATATTTTAGTTGATGATTTTTAGGGTGCCTCTAGTCCGCTCCCAGGCATTGGCCACCCTTCACACCTTCCACTTTGGCTGCTACCAGAAAAAAGTCAGTGTGTGCCCTGCTTTAAGCCTGCCTTGTAGCACGAGCCAAAGCAGGAGGGCCAGGAGTTTTTCTTCAAAAGCACATTCCTGATCCATGGTTCAGGCTCCTGGATCCTATCATAGTTTTACTACCAATAATAATAGTACAAAGATCATGAGTCAGGCTGTCAAACTGCTCCTACAGGATGATTCCTCCAGAACCAAAGGTGTTTGCTATCTGGAGGTGTTTGGCAGCTGAAGTGATGCCTGCTTGTGCTGTTGGTCTTCAAAGACTGATCCTCACTGAAGACCCTGGCATCTGTCTGCATGTGCTGTCCTTGGTATGATGGATGCAGCAGAAAACAATCTTTGCTTAGGATCCTTAAGAAAACACAGAAGAGGAGTGAACGTCAAGGAACTGCCAGTAAAATGCAGGAGGAACTGCTTCAGCATGGAATACTGCAGGAGGAAAAGTAGGTGAGCTCAGACTCCTCATAGACATATTTCTAGCATCTAAATATCTGTTTGAAATGATCACTAAACAGCAGGAAAATCAAAATTTTGTTTGTTTTTTTTTTTTTTCAGAAGAAGAAAAGCTCATGGAAAGATAAGCAGAGAGTGGAAAAGAGATATGGATGCAGAAAATCACTCAATTCCACTCAGTCTGAAATTGGTAGCAGGGGTTTCCATCCATTTCAGCTACAGCAGATCTGGTTCCACAAATTACACACAAAGGCCAAAACTAATCCACATTTTTGAAAGAATCTGTGCAAACACATTGATAGTATGAATGAAAACTTAATGAAAGTGGCTTCAAAAGCAGCTTGAAGTGAGCTGTGAGAAAAACTCAAAACCTCAGAGGAAGAAAGCCAGAAAATTTGAGACAGAATTGAAGAGAAAAAAACCAACAAACCAACTCAGTGACATTGTGAATTATAGAGATGTTAAACCTTTACTTAATCTTGATGTATCATTGATCAAGGAACCTGTTGCACACAATCTGTGAGAAGTTAGAAGTTAGGCCAGTGTTTCTGGACTATGCAAAGACTCCAATAAAAGTCAGGCATCACAGAAAGTGCAAATATTCTTCATGGCTACAAAAAGGAGCATTAACCGAGAGGCAGGAGCATGGGGAAGTTGAGGGCTGAGGAGAGTTGGTCGAGGCAATGCAGACAAGGCCAGAGGAGGTATGGCCGTGTCCCTCAGGATGCAGTGCTGGCTTTGATTGCTCATGCTCCTCTTGCTATCTGGTCATTAAAGGTTACGACACCATCATTGGGACAGGCTGTAGCAAGAGAATGGAAAATGCTAAAGGTGTTTTTCATGGTATTTTTCCTTGGGTTAATGCAGGATGGAGGTGGTGGCTGGATTGGATCCACCCTCCAGGATGCACATCTTTCTCAGGTGACTGTTGCTGATGGCACAGTGAAACCAAGGTCATGCTTATACAGTGCAGAAGTGATGACATTTCTGGGGTTTTATTAACTACCAGGACAACTTGAGGGTAGTTCAATATGATCACACGATAAATGCACATACATTAAGCGTATGGATTTGTGCTCACAAGTAGAAGCTAAGTCCCTATCCTACCAGGCAGCCATTTTCCTTAGACCTGTCTTTTAATTCTTCAAAGTATAAAATTAATTCTCCTCTCAACAAAACCCCTCACGGAACTCATCTAAAGCCCAACATAACTACTGATAAAAACAGATTAAAAGAGAACAATGCAGAACCAATACATATTAGTCCGGTCATATAATGGGCAGGAAATCAAGAGGACCAAGGGAACATCTCCTGATTGCACAAGTAAACCCAACACTTTTTGCTGTAGTCAGTCATTTTAAACCCAGTGCCCCTGCAGTGGGGTCTAGAGGGCAAGGAGGAGGTCCAGGGAAGCTTGGGAGCATTGCCCTTGCATTACCACTGCCTTGGGCATGGTTGCATGGCTCTCTTCCCTCCCTTCACATTCCTATCACATGAAGGTGATCTTCACCCCTGGGAAGAATAATAAGTTTGACTCACCTGGGTCTGGCACATATCCATTGTGACATTACCCTGCACAGGGGTATTTAGTGCTCATGTTGGAGCTTCAGATCTCCTGCTCGATTGCTGAGCCTTGCCTCCCACGGTGGAAACCCAGGCTGTTTGCAACCTTCGTTTAAACATATGTTATATTGTTTCAGGTGTCCAAAGTCTTATTTTACTTCTCTAGTAAATATCTCCCAGCTCCTATACGAGAACTTTGGGAAAACTTCTCCCACAATGCAACTTAAAAATCACCCTGCAGAGACCTTACGTTCCTCAGCTTAAATCCAGCCTTCAGTGTGCCTTGAGTTATGAGGCTGTCCAGACCACTAATAGAGAAGCAGGGGAATTTACACCAAAAGGAATAAACAAGCCAACAATAAAAATAACCATTTATCTCTTTTTCCTCCCCAGTGTCTTACTCAAAAGGTCACTGTGTTCTTTTGTGGAAGCAAAGCTCTATAATGTGAGTTTAGATACTTTAGGTTCTTACTCGCTTTCCCCCGAGTAACTTTGGTGGATTTTTAGTTTGATTTTTTTCCTTGGATACGATCTAAGAAATAACCAGGGTTTCCAGAACAGGGCTGTTAGTCAGAGAAAAGACCAGGTCAGTGGGGCACGTGCTGCGGGGCTCCCTGCTTAACTCGGCACGACTCATGGCATAGTGCTAGGAAAGAAACAAGCTCCCTTTCCTCCTATTTTGCAGATGAGGTTTGCTTACAGTAGCCTCAGCTCAATGGACTGAAAGTGCAGGTTACAGGAGGGTATATCTAGCTCTGTGCAGTCTTCCACAGAGGCTGAGCAGACAGGTTCCCCGTGTGCAGAAAGCAGCCCGCAGAGCCCAGTGTCCAGTTTGGGACAGCAAACCCCTGCCCACGTTATCATGGCACCATGTTTTACCAACCAGCAGATCTAACACCATCTAGAAACAAGTACAACTGTTTGGAAAGAGCGGGACATGAACTGTTTCCCAAAAGTTTCCCCCTGCACAGCTTCCTGTAGAAACCCCACAGTCTTGTAAAGGTGTCATTGCATGGGACATCTACTGCCTTTGTTCTCATTTCATGGAGGATTGGCCCCAAATCTCACCCTAAGATTATTCTGCAGAAAGGATGAAGCATTTTATAGGGTTCAGTTTGGCCCAGAAGTTATTTGGGATTGCCTGGAATTTTGGAAACTGCAGCTCCCACAGCTCAGGGTCCCTGGCTGCAGTGACATTGTGCAGGCTTCCTGCTGCCTTCCCAAGTTTTGCTGCTAAAAAAAATAATACCCCATGCTTCCCTAGAAATTCCAAATCATGCAGCGTGTTTTGTCAATGTCCACCGTTGTTTAAAGCCCCTCTGGGCTCCTGCTGGGGACATTATTTCTCTCCAAGTTTTATAGGCAGTGGGGGATTCTTCCTGATTTTAAAGAGGGCTCCCATGGATCATGAATAATCTGTGACATTGCTAACACAAGCCTTAGCCAGTTGTCTTAATAACAACATCTCTTTCTCTGCCACACTCAAATACATTGATCTGAAAGATTGGGGTAGATCATAGGGCAAGAGTCTGAGGATTTTACTCTTCCTTTTGCCACTGATTGATTGCGTTAACAACCAAGGCAAGACAGAATTCTGCTACATTTCACAGTTTCCCTTTTGTAAGTGGGATAATATTTCTTACAAGCTTTGTAGAGCAGTTTGGATCTTGGGGAAAAATGCTCCATGTTATTATTTTAGGCCCTGCTTCAGGAAAACATATATGCTTAAATCCTGCTGCTTTAATGGGTTGAAAGCACCTACTTTAGGCTAAGCTCATATTGATGTGGTCTTTCTGAAAAAGCTGCCCTAAAACTTCTAATTACCTTTATTAAAAATGTAGCCCATTGAAGCTTACTTAAAAGATAATTTCTAAAAGAGAGGGGAAAAGTAGCGAAGTAATTGCAGCTCAGCATACTGAAGCATTACCTTTCATGCTTTATTCAGATGAAAGAGTCATGCAGGAGTACCCATGCCTTTTTGATTAGATGCACACAGCAGATTTTAGGTCCCCTTCAAAGATCCTTGGGCCGTGTGGAGCCAGGAGCAACTCCGCACTGTCATCAGAAAAAAAAAAAAAATCAAACTCTTTTTCTCAGAGCCTGACTCTTTTGCCCAGCTCCCCCCCTCCCATATTTGTATATATTTCGAGAGGAGAGTCAGACTTAGTTTGTTCATAAACTGCAGTTCCTGGGCGGACCCCACGCACAGCTGGGCTTTAGCGGCTGGATCCGCCTTCCCGGCAGGGCTGGCTGGGAGCCTCACAAACTCGGGGCTCCGGGCTTGACAGCAGAATCGCAGGAGACTGGCTCCACCGAGGGAAGATGAATTGGTCAAAACCGTGAAACCGGGTTTCTTGTTGCTAGTGGGATCCAGAAATGGGTTACCGAAGGAGTCCGAGTCTGCTTCCCTTACTGCTGCTCTCCTTCTGTGAGTAGAAAAATGTTTCTGGCTAGGCAATGTTAAGCAACATACTCTGAGAAGTCGTTTATTTTTGCTTCCCCCAGCAAAACAGCTAATCTTCGATTTCTCCCCTGACAGCAATTAGCCAGAGGATTGGAAATAGCAGAGAGTTTAGTAGAATACTCTGCTGCAACTGCATCAGCTGTGTATTGCTCTTATGGCGAAGGGCGAGCGATCTCTTGGTGGAAAGTGCTGCGTGCTCGCTTGCAGCAGCTCGCAGATGTCAGTGTTTACAGTGCAAAAATATATATATAGGTCAGCATTACTTGTTGGAAGTTTTTATTTTATTGTGGGAGATTAAAAGCAACTGAAGTGCACTGCTGAACGACCTGGCTTCGACAGTGTCCAGATGTGGTGAAGTTTTCAGCTTAGAACTTTTATCAGCCCTGGTTTATGCGCGGAATTAATCGAACTATTAAAGAAGGGAAGAAGTGGGGAGAGGGGGAGGAGAAGTGTCTTTGCAACAACATCTGGTTATTCGGCAAACCTTTCCAGCACTTACGTAAAGATTTCTTTGTAATAAGTGCCCTGTTTCAGTTTTGATAGCACTTCTTCAATACCGGAGATAAAACCCTCCAGCAGCACTTGAAAATGTGCCCATCCGTGGTTTAACTTTTCTTGTTTATATCTTGATGATTGTTTCATAACAGGGAATGGATTTGTATATAAGTGAGTGTTATATACACATCTCCTAAGTATGTGTGTCTGTGTCTTTCTGTATATATAGAGCCTATGTATGTGTATACATGCATATATCCCTATATAGTGTATATTTATATGTTTGCATGGACACTGACACTTTTTTAAGTGAACTCTGACAAAGACAGACCCATTCCCCTTGCTATAGAAATTTCAGTGCAAGTAGAATTGCTTTTTTCTCAAAGCAATGAAGTAGGAGGATTACCACACCAGTATTTCTTCATCCAAATGAAATAACTGGGGGCAGGGATCTGTATCTGTATTCACTTTACATGGGTCCCCCTATCTACAAGAACAGGGAATAAAAGAATGATCAGTCAGTAATTTGTGTGTAGGCAAACACAACCCTGGGGGCAACTGTTGAAGCAGAGAGAACCAGATGGGGAGATTTAGGACACAAAATCTGGTTGATTTTTCAAAAAGTTATGGAGATATATAGCATTCATTATTGTAGATAATACCTTAAAGTATGGTTTGAAATGTAGGGTGCTATACTGATAACATCCTGCTAACTTAATTGCATTTGGAGCAGAAATTACTACAAGGTATTATTTAAAGCACAGTCCTGGGTTGTTTTTGGTAAGAAAGAAGACCACTAATTATCCTTCAGAAATACCTAATTTTGGAGTTATTTAACTTACGGTTTCCTTTTTCTGAAAGGCAAGGTTTTAATCTGAAAGAAACCAAACCAAAACATATCATGATTACTAAGTTCATCTAAAAGGTTATGTGAGTGATATGATGACAAAATTTGCCTCTGCATAGAGAAAAAAAAATAAGCCAAGGCTTGCGCTCTGTGATTCAGCTAATCAGTGATAGATGTTTTCGGAGACTACATCCACTTCCCTTGCATTTAGTGATAAGATTGACCCTGCAGTCATTCTGAGACAGTAAAGGTACCCTGGGAGCCCACTTTGCATTGACATTAAAAGAGAAGGGAAAAGCAAGTTCCCCAAATAGACAGAATATACACATTCAGCTGTTCTTCAAGCAACAAATCTTACCACTCATCCAGCCTCTCTTTTAAGAGTGACAGTGCTAGCCTGGTGACAGCAGCAAACTTGCTCCTCTTAGCACAGAGATTTAAGACTTGCCATAGAGAACTTGGCTCAGACTCCAGCTGAGCATCTTTAGGGATATTGCTGCTCTCCCTAAGAGTTTACACCAGGGCAGCAGAGACTCCAGTCTGTGCTTCATGATGCCTGTCTCTATGCCTTGAATCACCAACACAGTGAAGTAGCCATCACATAGCACCTCTGGACACTTTTGTCCATATACGATGGAATAAAGGGCTGTAGTCTGATGGACCTCTGTATTTCCCTAATTCTCCCTGGCCAGCCCCAGCAAAGCTTCGAGATATCCACCCTTAAAGTTCTCCCCAGTGGCAGTGGCTGCTGGAGGGCAGCATTACTGCATGACTTTCTCAGCAGAAGGGGCAGACAGGAGCTGTAGTTGCACTGCTGCTGACACAAACCCTCATGCAGGTGAGCAGACAATCTTTCCAAGGCAGGCCTGGACTTACCTGGCCTGGGACAAAACAAGGAGAGGACTTCCTCTTCTATGGAGCAGTGGAAAAACAAGATGTACACACTGGAAGCTGAAATGGGGTGCATTTGTGTTAGAGCATAACATAGTGAAGTTGTTCCAGCAAGTAATTACTCAGGCTGGGGACATGGTGGATTTTTGTTGCTCAAAGCCTTCAAGACTGCAAGACTATCTCTTTGCAACTATAACCCATACAGAAGCTACAGAGTTGAAATCAGGATTACTGTATTGTGCACATGGAAACGCTCTGGCCTTAAAGTTAAGAATTAGGAGTTTTCCTGCCCTGTTTTGTATCAGCACTGGGAAAGTCTCCCTTGTGCTCCATCTGTTAGGAACAGGGCTCACATCTGGCCAAGCAGGCATGGGACTGAACAGAGTCTCATCTCACAGAGAGGACAACAAAGCTCCACAACCCTCTGACCTGTGGAGGCAACCTCAAGAGTGTGAGCTGTGTCACTGGTGTGACAACAGCTCTCAGGGTGTGAAGAGCCCCAGCAGAGTGTCTTTGGACATCCAACCTCCAAAAGAGGAGATGAAACTCAAAATCTGGCAGGACACGTAGCAATTCCAGAGTGAGAAGTCTCTCTTCCACAGGGAGAGAGAGCTGTACCCCATGGGATCTGCTGAAGCTCCAAAGTAAGAGAAGGAAGATTTTTGAAATGAGGGGAGGTTGCAGGTCTGATACCCCAAGTCCAGATCTCCCAGTTTCTGGGGTTTGGGTCTGGTTCCCCATAACTCAGCTTCCTATTAAAATGCTGGTCCACTAAAATATCCTAACATTTTTGCTTAGTCTCCCAGGCTCCCTTTGTCATGGTCCCTCATTGAAGTTTGATGGCTCCACAGAGAGTGCATTTGAGGGTTATCTCCTGGTAGATGGTGGCTCTGTGAAGCCATATGCTCTTTCCTGCTTACACAAACTCTTCCCCCAGTGAGCCTCTTTAGCTAAATATATAGAGCATATATAATTCATAAATCAGGACAGGGAGCTCCAGGGCTGTCAGAAAAACATCTCTGGCTTTTGATCTGCCCAAGAAATCTCTGACCTATCCCAGGCTCCTTAGGCAGTTTGTTCAAGAAGTTGGCCTCCTATTTCTGAGGTCAGCAGAGCTAAAACCAGGGGTTGTAGTGCCACCAACACACTCCTTGTGCAGGGGATTGCACTCCAACACCAATATATGCACAATTCAGGAACATGGGGTCAAGCGTGAACTGGTGAGAGGACAGGAGAAGAAAGAGGACAAAGGAGGAGTCACCCTCCGTTTCAAAGGCAAATACATCCCTTTGCAGAAAGGGGCTTTGCAGGTCCAAGGCTGAGCCAGGGTAGCTGAGCAAACCTCTTCTCCCAGTCTATGCAGCGTGTGGGTGTGGGTGCTGCCTACTCCAGGACACAGGACTGCAGGGTTGGTAGTTACGATCCTTTTCAAGTAGCACCATGTTTTGCTTTAGTGTTGATTTAAGCCAGCCAAAACACCAAGGAAGAAATTATTCCCTCAAAACAAACCAAGAGGCTGCAAGGGCCCCACGCTGGCCGGGCATAAGTAGCTCGGCTGGGAGCAGGCAGAGCATCCCACTGCCTGAAGGAGAAACTTGTGTGTCCTACCATGAGGCTAAATAAGAACAAAGCTGGAACAAATTCCCCAGTTAGGAAATGAAAGGGGAAAACCCAAGAAAAACCCTGACAATGCAGAACTGGAGTCCTCTGCAGTGTTGCAAGTGGCAAGAGATTCAGCAAGGAAAGCAATGGATTATTTTGAGTTCAGCTTTACACTTCTCCAAATCCAATACTACTGTTTCAGTCTAGTGTAACTTAGATTAACTGAAGGTTTAGAGGACTGGCAGCGTACAGCTATGTCAGATTTATGAAAAGTGGCATTTCCTCTCCCCTTGCACCTCCAGCTTTTCTCAGGCTTGAGGCAGGCTGGTCATCATTAAAGCTGCTCAAATCTGTGTTTTGGTGGGGGCTTTGTGGAGGAAAGTCCTTTTTGAAATATAATTCCATAACCCCAAAAAACCTCCCAAATGAAAAAAACCACAAACCAACAGTAAAACTGATGTTTACTGGTATTTTACTGGTGTTATCGCTATTTAATAATGGTCACAAAGACATTTTTGTTTACTAATAGTAAATAAGTTCAGCCAGCTGCAATCATGATACTTGTTACTCCCATTAGAGATGAAGTTCTGGACAGTTGTACCCCACATATTCACTGAACATGCAGAAAGCAAGCACTGGCATTAAAAAGAGGTGACTGGGGGCTTTTTTCTGAGAAAATATTCAGCTCTACTGCCTGTACTGCACAGCTTTATATTGTTCCGTGTTTTGCTCTGTCGAGTTTGTTTCCTCAGGACATTGTTTTCCTCTCCCCTTAGTGATAACTCTTTGCAATAACATTTGCTTTCTGCCGAGTTCCACAGTGTTGCAGCTTGCCATAAACTAATGAACTCTCCCATAGATTGTCGTGTTTTCAAGGAAGTGCAACATCTGATCTTTTTATTAAAAAAAACAGTCCCACCAAGGAGACAAAATCAGCAGCTCCCACACACTTTGCTCTTTTCACATCCCATGTTTAGAGCTGTGTGCCAAGTGAAAGCCTCGCGCTGGAAGGGGCCTCCACGCAGAGGGGAGATAACACCACTGATGGCTGCCTGCCCTATCAAACCTGGGGATTACAGCTACATTATCTCCATGCTGGACCCCAACTGTGGGATAACATTTCCTTAGG